AATATCAATAGATAGTCTATCATTCAGCTTCCCCTTGTATATAACACACACAAAAACAAGTTATAAAAAATATGACACTATAATTAATATACATCTCAAAATTAAATATGAGTCAGTTCATTTATAAGCAATAAGTAGAGTTTTAAAAAATGGCCATAAAGCTAGAACAACACAAATGTGGGTTCTTGAATGCTCCGAGCATCCTTGCACACGGCTGAGGTAGTCTAACAAAAGTTTCCAATGAAAGCCTCACCCCTATCTACTGAGATTGCAAACCTCCATATGAATAGCCATTTTAAAATGAAATATAATTTCAAATGTCTTTGATCTATCATAATACATAATAATTTAATGCCTGAATGATGATGATATGTGTAATAATGTTTGGTTCTGGTTGGTAGGTGCAGTGTAATGTTGTGTTTGGTTGAGGTTCAGTTAGCTGTTCTGTGGTATTGTCCTGGGTAGCTGTACATTGTTGTCTATGGCTGAGTTCCAGTTACTTATACTGTACACTACTGTGAGTTCTGCTTAACTCAACTGTACACTGCTGAGTTCTAGTTACTTATACTGTACACGATTGTAAGTTCTGCTTAACTGTACTGTACATTGCTGTCTATGACTGAGTTATAGTTACTTGTACTGTACACTATTGTGAGTTCTGCTTAACTGTACGGTACATTGTTGTCTATGGCTGAGTTCTAGTTACTTGTACTGTACACTATTGTGAGTTCTGCTTAACTGTACTGTACATTGTTGTCTATGGTTGAGTTCTAGTTACTTATACTGTACACTATTGTGAGTTCTGCTTAACTGTACTGTACATAGTTGTCTATGGTCAAGTTCTAGTTATTTATACTGTACAGTGTAGTCTATGGTCGAGTTCTAGTTACTTATACTGTACAGTGTAGTCTATGGTCGAGTTCTAGTTACTTATACTGTACATAGTTGTCTATGGCTGAGTTCTAGTTACTTATACTGTACATAGTTGTCTATGGTTGAGTTCTAGTTACTTATACTGTACATAGTTGTCTATGGTTGAGTTCTAGTTACTTATACTGTACACTATTGTGAGTTCTGCTTAACTGTACTGTACATTGCTGTCTATGGCTGAGTTCTAGTTACTTATACTGTACAGTGTAGTCTATGGTCGAGTTCTAGTTACTTATACTGTACAGTGTAGTCTATGGTCGAGTTCTAGTTACTTATACTGTACATAGTTGTCTATGGTTGTTCTAGTTACTTATACTGTACAGTGTAGTCTATGGTCGAGTTCTAGTTACTTTTACTGCACATTGTTGTCTATGGTTGTTCTAGTTACTTCTACTGTACAGCGTAGTCTATGGTTGAGTTCTAGTTACTTATACTGTACAGTGTAGTCTATGGTCGAGTTCTAGTTACTTTTACTGCACATTGTTGTCTATGGTTGTTCTAGTTACTTCTACTGTACAGCGTAGTCTATGGTTGAGTTCTAGTTACTTCTACTGTACAGCGTAGTCTATGGTTGAGTTCTAGTTACTTATACTGTACAGTGTAATCTATGGTCAAGTTCTAGTTACTTATACTGTTCATAGTTTTCTATGGTTGAGTTCTAGTTACTTATACTGTACAGTGTTGTCTATGGTCGAGTTCTAGTTACTTATACTGTACATAGTTGTCTATGGTTGAGTTCTAGTTATTTATACTGTACACTATTGTCAAGTGCTGAGTTCTGCCTAACGGTACTGCAAATTGCTGCCTACGACCAAGTTCTAGTTAGCTGTAACATAACATTACCTTGACCTATTAAGGATGTGGAGGTGTATCAATGGAACTACCACACAAACCCACTATCTTTGTCTTCTGCTTGTTGAACCAAGAGTATAATAATTGTGTCCTGTCCACTTCTTGATGTTGTCAATCCAGATTCTTTTTTGCTCCTCACCTTTTTTTCTGGCTACCATCAACAAAAGCTGAAGCACAGTCTTTGCAACTGAATTACATCTCAAAAACTGCCCAAACCAAACAAGCCTGTGATGTTTAAGCACTGCTAAAGAATTTGTTTATTTTGTCTCTTAAATATCTGTCATTTCTATGTTCTATATATAAATAGCTCATTCGTAAAATTTGTCTATAACATTTTTGTTTCAAAGCTAGAATCTTCCTTTCCATTCTCACACTACAGTTACACTGTTGTCTATGGCTGAGTTCTGGTAAGCTGTACCCCAGTGCTGTCTGTGGCTAAGTTCCAGTTATGTGTACTGCTGTGCTGTATATGGCTGAGTTCTGGTAAGCTGTACTGTAGTGTTGTCTATGGCTGAGTTCTGGTTATCTGTACCTCTGTGTTGTTTATGGCTGAGCTCTAGTAAACAGTACCGTAGTGTTGTCTATGGCTGAGCTCTAGTAAACAGTACCGTAGTGTTGTCTATGGCTGAGCTCTAGTAAACAGTACCGTAGTGTTGTCTATGGCTGAGTTCTGGTAAGCTGTAGCATAGTCCTGTCTTGTCTTGTCCACAATTGCCTCACAGCGTAGTGGGGAGTCGCAGTTTTCTATCCTGGGCCAGGTGTGTTGCATGTGTTGTTGTTAGTCCGTGTTGCCTCAGGATCTCTGATATATTGTCTATTCATCATACTCTCGGTCTGCCTCTTGCATAGTCCTGTTTGTGACTGAATTTTCATTATCTTAACTGCTGTGTTGCAGATGGCTGAGTTCTGGTAAGCTGTACTACCGTGCTGTCTATGGCAGCATTCTGGTTACTTGTACCACAGTGTTATCTATGGCTGAGTATTTCTATATTAATTTAAATCAATAAAATATCAGTATGTCTTTATGACACATAACCAATCATTAAAATTATCATAAAATACAAGTATTTCTTCATTCTTATAATAAGTACCACCTATTTCCCCACTGTGAGATGAGGGATCCACAAAATACTAGCAACTCTCTTTCTCTAAAGAATCAACCATGATATCCCATTTTCATATAGCAGCAACCATTATCTCTCCATTTTCGCATGAGATGTTCATAAAATCCCAGTATTTCTTAATTTAAAGAAAATATTTAAGCAGTGTTAATGCATTTGATATAGCATTTTCATGAAATAGAAGTATTTTCTCATTCTCATACAGAATTACCCAGCATTTCTCAACTTCTAGATAACAAGTTTATTAACAATTTATTTATCTGTCATCATAGTCTACATTCTCACAAAGAATCAATTCATTATCATTTTTTTTTAAATCGATTCTCGAGTCTCATAAAGAATCAACTAGATCTTCTCCAGTCTCATAAAGAATCAACTAGGTCTTCTCCAGTCTCATAAAGAATCAACTAGATCTTCTCCAGTCTCATAAAGAATCAACTAGACTTTCTCCAGTCTCATAAAGAATCAACTAGGTCTTCTCCAGTCTCATAAAGAATCAACTACATCTTCTCCAGTCTCATAAAGAATCAACTAGACTTTCTCCAGTCACATAAAGAATCAACTAGATCTTCTCCAGTCTCATAAAGAATCAACTAGATCTTCTCCAGTCTCATAAAGAAGCACCTAGATCTTATCCAGTCTCATAAAGAATCAACTAGATCTTATCCAGTCTCATATAGAATCAACTAGATCTTCTCCAGTCTCATAAAGAATCAACTAGATCTTCTCCATCTTCAAAGGAATCAACATGTATCAGAATTAAATTTTATAAAGAATTGACCAGTATTTTTCTGTTCTAAAAATTCAAATAAATATTTCTCTATTCTCGTAAAGAATCAAATCATTATTTCTTTATTCTCATAAAAAATTAACCAGCATTTCGCTATGACTTTCTCACACACACAAAATCAACCATTCTTACAAAGAAGCAACCAGTATTTCCCCGACATTAAAGATAAAGTCATAAAGAATTAACCAGTATTCATATATTCTCAAAGACTCAAATCTCAGTTTTCACAAATACTCAATCAGTAATTCTCCATTCATGAAAACAGCCTTCAAAAACAATCAGTCAGTATTTTTTTCATTAGCTTCCACTAGATGCAAGAATGAAATATGTGTATATTCCACCACATCCTCGTAAAGTTGGTGGCAACCACAGACTCCCCACCAAGAATTTATCAGCCACATAAGTGAATAAAAACAGAGATATCATGTCTTGCCAGAATCCATGTGACAAGTCTTCTTCTTTGATCCTGCTGTCAGAAAACATATCAGGAGGCCGGTAGCCTTTATTAAAGCTATCATGCAGTTCATATCCTTTCGTGTCCCATATAGTTTTGTCTTCATTGTGGTTGGAACAGGCCAGATTGTGTCTCTGTTGTCAGCATACAGTTGGCAGTGTTGGAGCACATGCTCAGCCATTTCGAGTGCCATGCTGCAGGGACACATCTCTGTGTTTACACCGACAAATTTGAACATATGTTGACGAAGTCTGTTGTGCCCAGTCCTTAGTCTGAATATAATACACTTGTCCATCTCTAGACAGGTGAGGAAGCGAGTCTTGGGGAGAGAATCTAGTGTGTGTATCCAGCCACCTGACAGTGATAAAGCTGACTGCTCCTTGCATCTGATACAGTGATCTTTCATCAACAAATATTATTATCATCAGTCCTACGACACTGCATGATGCTGTTTGTTGTCGGGTCGCCAGTTGCTGTTGACTCTGACTGTCAGATGTAACAGACCTGACATTAGCAAGTCTAAGGCTTGTCCAGTCAGCCAGATTCTGTTTCCAGCTCTCTTACTGGTTTGTCTCTTCTCCTCTTTCCCTCTACAGAGCCCTGTAGTGTGTTCTGGAGAGGCTGGTAGACATTGCATTTTCCATCTTTTCACATATATCATACACATGTCAATAAAATAAAGGGCAAAATATTTATACATTCAAATATTTTCCGTTCAGCAGTTTTGAGATTCTCAGACTGAAGATTAGTTCATAGAAAAAGTGAGATAACCACGTATTAACTGTTCACTTTCCTTTGACATTCTTTTCTCCCAAATGTCTATCAAGTTCTAGTTGTCACAAGTGTACATTCCTTACACAACTGACCCACTGTTTCCATAGAAACAGATTCTGGTAGAGAATGATCTCCATGACTGGAAAGTCTTCCCAGTCCAGATCCATACGCCTGATGTGATGCCCACAATTACAGTCATCAAATATTTGATCATGAACACGCTGAAATCTGGCCAAGATTTGGAGGTTATGCCATCTGGGCAATTGACATTGTAGTGGTTGCATTCGCTGTCATACCAAGCCACTGTCCATTTATCACGGGAAGCTTGTTCATAGAAGTAGCATGCAATAACAATGGTTGCCGGAACTGTATACAGAACTGAGAAAATTCCAATTCGAACCATCAGCTTTTCCAGTTTATCCGTCTTTGTCCCGTCACTTTTCATGATTGTACGAATCCGAAACAAAGAAACAAATCCAGCAAGAAGAAAAGAAGTGCCGATTATCAGGTATACAACTAGGGGTGCCAATACAAAGCCTCGCAGGGCATCAACATCAAAAATTCCTGTGTAGCAAACTCCACTGAGTATGTCTCCATCGACCTGACCCATTGCCAAAATGGCAATGGTTTTAATGGCAGGCACAGCCCAGGCAGCCAGATGAAAGTACTGAGCATTGGCTTCAATAGCTTCATGACCCCATTTCATACCAGCAGCCAGGAACCAGGTCAGGGTCAGAATCACCCACCAGATGGAGCTGGCCATGCTGAAGAAGTAGAGCATCATGAACAGAATGGTGCAGCCTTCCTTTTTGGTGCCTTGGGTCACAACCTGAAGCATGTCCTCCCTTCTAGTGTTTGCATTCGGAGGCTCGAAGGGACCACTGCAGGAAATGTTCTCCTTGACAGAGAAGCCAATCACATAAGCCAGCGCGACCATGAAGTAGCACCCTGACAGAAATATGATAGGTCGCTCAGGGTATCTAAACCTTTGCATGTCAATCAAGAAAGTCAGAGCCGTGAAAAGCGTTGAGGCAAGACAAATACAGGACCAGATTCCGATCCACCACCGAGCAAATTTCCGCTCATTTTTATCAAAAAACATGTTATGGCACGGGGCCCCGCAGTTCTTTTCCATGTGGTCTCCAATTTTTAGGTGATAGTCGAATCCTTTGGGCATAGTCAGAACAGCTGGGCACTGGAAGACAGAGTCAGATGAGGGCAACCATGTGTCCCATCCATGAACACCTGCTCTACCTGGGTCAACAGAGAAAAAAATCAGTTTACAATTAGTCCAGTACATGCATATTGTAGCAATTATGTATTAAGGTATTTCAAATTTGCATTTAGAGATTGTGTTATAAGGTGAGTTATCCTCATAGTACTCCAGATATGTCCAAAGTTGCTCAGACTCCCCTTCTCTCAACATGCACACCAGTGTCCAACAGCTACAGTGCTGTCCAGCTTTTGCTGGCTGACAGGACTTCGTGTACATCTCCAGTGCCTTGTGTACATCTCAAGTGCCTCGTGTACATCTCAAGTGCCTCGTGTACATCTCAAGTGCCTCGTGTACATCTCAAGTGCCTCATGTACATCTTAAGTGCCTCTCACGCCTGGCTGTGCCCATCTGTACTCTCAATGCCCCCATTTTTAGCAGCCATACGCAAGCACTGCTCTCAAAATCATCCAGTTAAAAGATTGCACAGGATAGGAGGGAACTGAAACGGCAAGCCATGTGTGATACATACACACCACAACAGGAGGAGGAAGATGATGAAACTTGCATCAAACCTTTTAGCACCAAACTATGTTTACTTAACACTAGCTATCTGAGAATGACAAGCTGGATGTTGTGAGGGCTCTTTGCGAGTGACTGAACAGCGTGGAGGCAGAGATAGATTATTACGGTCTGGGAAGAATGGCGCTGTGAGGAGTTACAGGGGGATCTGGCCGGCGCTCAACACTCAGGGGGAAAGGTGAGGCGGATATTCGTACACTTCTGCACTTTCGTCTTGTTCCAAAACCTGAGTGTTGCATATACATTCAAAGATCTGGCTTATTTGTATGCAGACTCTTAGTGCCTTGCCTCTTACGAAATCCTTCTTGGGGAAGCAGTGGATTTATTCTCGTTTCCCCCAACAATGGGGGCCCTGCAACCCACATGTGGGAATTTTTAGATCTAATTGGTAACAAATTAACGTATTAAATTACCTTGTATGCCTACAATATCCGGATGTCGATCTGCGACTTCAAGACCTCCTTAAAAAACAAAAGGAGTTAAAATAAGTACAGGTGTTAATGAAATGTACCATGGAAGGCAAAATATAATATGATCTGAACAAAGAAGACACAAAGTGCCACCTAAACAGTCTTGTGTAGGGTCATAATCACACTGAGCCGGGAATGCAAAGACTGACCAGCAGGTGCCAAGGAGATGGAAATTCAGCTATTAATTCAAGATAATGCTCGCTCAGAGGATTTGATCATTTACACAGATGGTTCAGTGTCAAGAGGCAAAAAACAGTGCTTGGGGTTTCTTAGCAAAAGTTAATGGTCGACATTTTATGCTAGAGAGCCTAGCATATGATACCACAACATCCAGCTCAAGAATGGAAGTGGAGGCGGTCACTGCAGCTTTCCGCTGGTTTGAGAACACGACACATACACACATCGTGATTGTAACTGACTCAGAAAGCATGCTGAGGAAGATCAGGACAGGCATGCTTCATGCAGAGTGGCATGCTTCGCTACTGAGAACACGAGTGAAGAGTATTGTCTGAATTTTTTTTCTCGGGTCGCACTGGTGTGTTGGGAAATGAACAGGCGGGCAGACTGGCTGGCTCTACACATCTTGGTGGAATACTGATACAGGTGGACGTGGTTAGTGCCTTGTGGGAGAGCGTGTACAGTTCGGAGAAGCAGATGGATCACCACAGCTAGTGAGATTGATACAGTGTTCTTTACAAAATAAAAATACGAACAAACCCAAAAAAAGCAAAAGCCCTAACATGACTTTTCTGCATGCTCATAATATAAGCCCCATCGCAAATATATACTCCAGCTGTCTAGATCATATGCAAAAGGGATGATTTCCTTTCCCCTTTAAAATAGGCATGGCGGAAGATGGCTGTATTACAGTATTACAAAAAATTAGATTTTTGCACCTGAATTAAATGTCATATGTGTAATGAAAAAAACACAAATAAAATGTCCTGAAAATAAGCCCTATGGCATCTTTTGGAGCACACACAACAACAACAACAACAAATATATATATATATATAAGTAATAATTATTTATTAGACGTCTTTTTTTCAGGAAAACCAAACATGATAATGATGATAGTACTGTAGTAATTTAAAATGGGTTCTCCTCCGAATAACTGTCCTTAATTATCGAGACTAAGAATATATCCTAACAGGGCCTCAGTCATATGTGAGTTGTGAACTACTTTCTGGGAGTACACTGCTACAAAAGAAGGATTAAGTTTCAGCAATAATTTTGCAAAACCTCTGGATCCTAGGTTTAACTTCCCCTCTGGGTCCTAGGTTTAACTTCTTTCCTGGGTCCTAGGTTAAGGGTTAGGGCAACGAGTTTTACAATTATGACATTGCCACCAGATTCTGTCAAAACAGTCAAACAGTGACACTAACGATTAAAGGGCTATGAATGCAAATGAAACGGGTGCAATAATTATGAAGGCGGGATAAGTCGCACAATTTGCCACCTGCCTTTGGATTTGCTGGAAAGGAATCCTAACTTTACACACGAATGAAGCGCTGTTAGGGTATTTTCTTAGCCTCGATTATTTAGGACCTTTATTCAGAGGAGAGCCCTAAAATGCTTTCCAACCAACCCAATTATTATCCTCATTTGAGAGAATACAATCTATATGCTTGTAACCAATGCTGAATTGAGGCATAAGCTAAGGTACAGCTTAGGGCCCCACAATATGTAGGAGCCTTAACAAATTTCTTTTTTTTTTCATTCACAAATGCAATTTTACTTTTTAAAGAGCCCTCGGTAGATACATATAATTTATATGTTATTCCTTTGAAGTTGGAGTACATCTGCCTTAGAGGCAAGGAACCAAAAGTCTGCATACAAATGAGTCTGACCTGTGAAACAGATGTGCATGCAACACTCATTTTCTGGAACAGGACTAGAGTCCAGAAGTGGACAAACAACCAGAACATTCAGCCGGAGTTTACAGCTGGTGAATGCAAAGAGCAAAGAAGAATTTATGTGATTCTGCATTCTTTACTAATATTATGTCTTTTACTCAAAATTAAATAATATATTTTCATTACCCGTATATCATATATCTAAAATGGGCTCTCTTCTGAATAACGGTCCCAAATGAACTACGCAGAAAATGAACCCAAACAGAGCTTCATTACGTCCTGTCCTACAAACATTTAAAAAGTGTAGCTCGGAGAAAATAAGGAACGAAAAGTGTAAGGACAAGGGCAAACGGTACTACTTACCGAAAATTAAATCCTTTATATGTGAAAATTAAGGCACAGAAGTTGCAAATAGTGCGCGAATATCTGTTCTTTCTCGATGTCCGCCATTCCAACTGAGCACGGCTTGTCCGTGATTCTCGTTCCGGGCGAGACATGATCAGCTGTAATGCGCGGTTTAATGTACGCGCATGTCGCCTCAGGAAAACTTCAAACCAGCAGCCGCCAGGATGGTGCTGGTACTTCCGACAAAAGAAGTAGCTCCTGTAAATTGTTGATACACAGGGGATACACTCGGAGGTGGCACTATAGTCGGCGAAAAGCGCTCCACAACTTACATATATATAACTCGGGCCCTGCCGTAGAAGGCGCTATCGGGAATATTCTCATGTGTCGCTAATTTTTGTCGTCCGTAGTTAATCCTAGTTTTGCGTTTCGTGAAAATGTCGTGCGCAATTAATCCCACTTTTGACGCGTTTGAATCGCCGCGAAAGAAATGCAAATTTTAGATATGAGTGAGGCTCTGTTTCGGTTTACTGTCTGCGTTGCGAGGCTCTGTTTGGGTTCATTTTCTGAGTAGATCATTTGGGATCGTTATTCAGAAGAGAGCCCTAAAATGTGTTCCTTATTATTCGTTTTGAAGCTTTTTTTTTTTAGATTAGCTGGTTTTAACATAAAACAGTGGAGTAGAGACCTCATGGCATTAAAACTATATAGCCTCATCAAGTCTAAATCCAGCCCATCCTGTAGTAATTATGCAGTTAGTACGGTATGTTCCTAAAAGTGTTGTAACTGTAGTAAAATAATAAACATTGATTTAGCATTAATTTAGACGTAATCAGTATTAACTATCAGACAATAATGAGTAATTCACACCACAACATTAAAGTATAATTTAGACGTAGTTACTTATTATGTTATACTGGTGGTTCGGTTAATTAAGTTAATAATAATATCTTAACTTGAAAACATTTATAAACATAACTCTACCTTGATTGCGATGAGACGACTTGGCCGTAGTCTCTGATGGCTCCGTAGAAGTGGTATTCTCCCCAACACACAACCCTGAAGGTGGGAACTGGTCACACCTCAAAGTTTCAGGCCACTCGAACCCGAATTTATTCATCAAGCTCTCGCACCCGGTCCTCGCCTCGTTACACAAAGACCGGCATGGCGGAATGGCATCCTCCAAGACTGTACACACGGGCACATACATCGTGCACAGGAAAAACTTCAACTGTTTGCTGCACTGCACCTTCACTAGAGGGAAAAACTGGTGCACTTCCAGCCCGGCATCCTCTTGCTTCATGTGGTTTAACAAATTGGGCATGATTGTTTCATTGTATTGAATATCTTTACACAATGGTATTGTTATTTTCTCGCATTTTCCGTGAGTAGCCATGTACTCGGATTCTTTCTGGAACTGAGCGTTGCTGGCGAGAGCATTTTTAACCGAGCACAAATCAGCTACAATAAGAAACACAAGCAACACCAATTGGAATCTGTTTCTCTGGATTGCCATGTTAAGAAATCCAAATCATTTAGCTGTCTCTGAAAAACAAAGACGTCTGGATGCCGTTTCTCCAATTACAATACTCCAAAACTTCATTTGTGTGCAGAACACCTTTTTTTCTCTTTAACTACAATAGTTCGCGGCTGCCAGACATAAGATATATTTGCGAACAAATTAACTCCAAATCCACCGTCTGGTTTCACCGCGACGTGTCTTGTGTTCTCGTCAACAACAGTTAAGTCGAAAACAATTGTTGTTTAATAGACAAGATCGAGATAAGCAAACTTCAATCGCTTCTTAAGCCTACTACTGCTCGCCATTTGCAATTTGGAAGGCAGCCAGTTGCAACAGCCAATCAAATCGTCAAGTTCTTGCAAAACTAGCAAATTGATTGGTGGATATAAATAAACGCAGGGCTGTTGTATCTACCTCCCTGTGGTGAACTCCTAGGGCCTGCCTCTGATGACGCTAGATTATCTAGGCCAATTGTCTGTTACAAGAAAGGTTCTCAATTTGTTTTGGCAAGGCGTCCTCTTTCTCAGGGAGACGAAGTAGACTCGTCTGCCTGCTTCAATATTTTGGGTTCGATTCCGCACTGGGCGGATTTAGAGAGAGAAAAAAACTGGCTCCCAATTAGTAGGAAATCTCCTGGGTAGTAAAGACGACCGGCGTTATTGTAACCACATCACTGATAGTGAAAAGTAAAGGATAATTTTACACTGATGGTGTAGTGGGCATATAATGCTAGGCTGTTATTTGTATAGACCAATCGGCACTCGGTGGGGGAGAGTTCAACATCACACGGGCTGCCTTTACTTCCTATAATGTTACATGGAACCCATTTATGACTGGGTCTTCTTCTTTCTTCTTCGGGTTTCCCGGCTGTGAACTCCGGCGGAAGGTTTCTGCTGTTCATCCACCGCTGGGTTTTAATCTTGTTCCAGAATTGAGTGTTGCGTGCACACCTGTTTCACATATCTGACTTATTTGTATACAGATGGTTGACTAGCTTTCCTCGGCAAACAACGTCTAGAAATAAAACCGTCAAAAAAATAAAATGAAATGGCGAAGGGAAGAATACTTTACAGTATTCAAATACTATGTAAACTACTTCTGCTACTCTTTGAGTATTCTGGACCCTTGAGGTTCTGTGATGCAAATATCACCTGTCCATTCAGATGGTTTTAATCGCAGCATCTGCAAATAACAGCTCTCTGGTGAATATTCTTGTGCAAAACTACGTTCTAGCAGCTTTCGTATAATTTCACGATCAGAAAAATATGACGAGTTAAATCAACATCTGCCCGGTACTGAAGAAGTTGAATCTGTTTCGAGAAGGACTGACTCATTTTAGGCCTTGGATTTTCTTTGAAAACCGCTGCGCTACAACAAAAAGATTGTTTACGTGCTTACTCCTAGTAGTAGTTTTTCTATGTCACGTTAAACTACCCTCTAACATGTTCAACGGAGCCATCATCAAGCAAGTAAGGCTACGAGAATATACGCGGAGATACCTCACGAGACGACTTCCCTCGTACAGTTAGTTGTACAGCACAGGGGAAAATACATTTATATCAATCATTGTCACTTTGCTTCAAGCAAATGTTCCAACCAGGGTTTCTCAAGCTGTTTTATCCAGCCCTGCCTAAAAGAGTGTGAACATGGGGGCTGCATGCAATTCCAGGTAAGAAATAAGTTGTTAATTGTAAAATTACTTTTCAAATTTAATCTATGGTGCCTCAATTGTCCTGGTGTTTTCTTTTTATGATACATCTATCAGCTGCCCCTTTTCTTTTAAAAACTAAAACCCACATCCACCTATTCATCTCTCCGTCCACCCGTTATTCTTTTTATCAATCAGTCCACCCATTAATTAACCCGCCGGTTGTCCGTCTGCGGAGAACTGAAGTTGTCTGTCTATAACTAGGTGCGGCTTAGTGGATAGTAAAGGCGTTTAACAATTTCATGAGCCGCAAGTGCTGAGATTCAATTTCACAGTTGCTCCCCTTCTGGGTTCCGGGTCCCATTGTGGGGGGAAGCAAGAAAAGACCCACTGTCTCCCCAACAAGGAAGCAATAGAAGTCAACTAATGGGGGACTTCCTTCGAAGTCGGAGTGCATCTACCTGAGCGGCAACGAACAACCAACTGCAAACAAATAAACCAGTAAAACGGATGTACATGCAAAACTCAGGTCCAGGTACAAAGTCAACATCCAAATGGACGAACAGCCAGGACTTTCCACCGGAGCTTACAGCCGGTGATCAACCAAGAAGAAGAAGAAGAAGAAGAAGAGAATTGCCGCTGTGTATAGTTTATTCACAAAAACAAACCCCCAAAAAATGTCTCGTGACTTTGCAAAAAGTACGAGAGTCGCACCGTGAAAGAGACTGGGACTTCAACAGGTATTATTCTCAAAGTTAGCAATGGTACAATGAAGCCAATCTTCATTGTAAAGAGGGTATAGACTTTCATTGTATCTTTAACGAGATTTAACGAAGGTAAATACAGTCGTGAGGGTCGAACGGCGCCTTGTGGTGTGTAGTTTAATTTGCTAGAACCTATTTCTTTATAATTTCCATCTTCTTTTCCTCCTCCTCATTCTTCTTCTTCTTCTTCTTCTTCTTCTTCTTTCTTCTTCTTCTTCTTCTTCTTCTTCTTCTTCTTCTTCTTCTTCTTCTTCTTCTGCGTTAGCGTCAATTGCGGCTCGTGTATATGCAGGGCGGAAGTGCCGTACCGTGTATTTTTACATGCTATTATCGATAACATTTAATATAATGAGCCCTCTCCCTCCCCCTTTGTTTCTCAAAAGCGTTGTGGTTCTTAGTGCTCGAACGCCGCAGGCGCCTGTGTTCAAGGAAGAACTACAGGGTTAAAGATCAAAGACACGACGGTTCCTCAGTATCGAATCATTGATGTTTTTGTATGTTTACGCTCGTTGGCGGTGGCTGTCGTCGGTCGTGGATGCGTTTAAAACGTTCATAACCAGCAACACCTGGCGCACCTAGAACATAGGACACTCTGTGAGAACGAATACGAAATTACGCAGCCAAATGAGATGGGGTGATATTCGTGAGTTGTACCTGGATTTATAGTTTAAATGATTGGATCTAACTTGAATTGAAACAGTTTCGACTATTCTTCTTCCTCAGCATTCCAATCTCTTAGGTCTTAGGGTATACACAGCAGATAATACACGCCTCTGCTTATCTCTGTTTAGTCTTCTATTTCAGGCTGATGACTACAAGTGTTTTTATACGTCTACCAGGATATTATCTCCCCATCGTTTACTGTATCTGCTTCGTGGTCTACGGCAGTTCTATTCCCTTTGGTGCACAGTTTTTGAATTTATTGTATTAGTAATTCACTTTTTTGTTTAAATTTAAGATTTTATCAAGTTAACGTATACACTTTCTATTTTCTATTTCTGTTTACAAAGTATTAAAACAATGACAAAACTTCTTTTGTTTTGTTTTGTTTAAAGTTTTGTTGTGATTTTGTTGTGGAGCGGTAACACCGACTAATTTTAGCTACAAGCCACTACTGTGCTAACTTCACTGCAGAAAAGCCCCCCCCCCTCCCCACCCCCTCAACCCCAAATATCTAGCAGTAGTAGTAGTAATTTTTTGACAATATCCTGGTCACCCCTCGTGTTTATAATTGGGATATATACGAATAACGAATAACTGGTCTAGTTCCTGTGCTTTTGAAAATCACATCAAATGCGTCATTCATTGTCTTATTTCAAAAACTAGTGAAAAATACACAATTAATCAATCCGCATCGCGCCCAGAGGCACATAAGGCAGAGAAACAGTCGCCACTCAGTTTGATCCCGAGCCATCCTCTCTGTCTCCAGTTTTGTCCTTCGCGTAGCCTTGAGTTCAGCCCCAAAGGTTCGACTCCAAGTGCTTCTGGGCCTGCTTCTTCCTCACTGTCCTAGTGGTGCCCATTGCATCGTTTGTTTCGGTCGTCTCTCTTTCTTCATTCTGAGAACGTGTCCAATCCACCTCCATCTTCATTTTTTTTGATTTCTAAATTTACATCTCCTAAGTCTATCATTTGTTGTAATCTAGAATTGCTGATTTTTTCATCTTCCCATGTTAACCCCAACAATCTTCTGAGAAGTCTTTCCTAAAAACCTCTGAGCACGCTCTCTATCTTTGGGTCCGTTTTCCAATTTCCTGCTCCGTAGAGTAGAACTGTCCTAACACATGTTTTGTATATCATTAGATTAGTTTTGGTGCTGTGGGTGTTTGATCTCCAGACACTCTAAAGTCTGTTGTTGCAGATGTTTTTTTTTACTTTGTCTGATGAAACAGATATCACCTGCAAAGTCCAAATGTTCCAGGTGTTGAAGAAGATTCCGCTGAAGGCCCGTCCGTGTGCCTCTGGTTGCTGTCTTCATTACATAATTTATCATTATGAGAAACTTGAAAGGTGACAGAATGCATCCTTCTCGGACTTCTGATGTTACCCTGAAGTATTATATTTCCATGAGTCCTACTTTCCCTTTGCATTGCTATCTTTCATAGAATCGTTTTAAATATGTTAATAACTACCTGGTAATCCATAAGCAGCAAGGATCATCCACATCATTTTTCTATCCAGACTGTCAAAGGCCTTTTCAAAGTCTGAAAAATACACGAGTCACCAAAAAAAATTTGGAAGTTCGTACACACAAATTAAAAGCATAAGGCAACCGCCAGATGTGCCAACACTAAAAGGAAGAAACAATCGGTTGCACGAGGTTGATAAGAAAATTCATTTGGCTACGACTCTGCCATGCATTTATAACTTGCTTATTAATAAGCATTGGGTCTTCTATTTTCTGCACCAAAGTGGGACTTTGAGTCCCACTTATGTGCATATTACAAGTGAGGAGGTCCTTCGTGTTACAGGGCTTACTTTCCGTGTGGGTCCCAGACCCCATATTACAAGTGACAGGATCCTTCGTGTCATAGCGCTTATTTCCCGTGTGGGTTCCAGGGCCCTAATTTTGGGCGGAGGGA